TGATTCTTCATGATCAAGTCATTATTAAAGTATATATTTAATCTAATGTAAAAATAACTTCTAGATAAATTTGGAAGTGGAATCCTCATAGCCATCATATTGTAGGTCTTGTCCAATAGAAGACGAGTCGCGATTGAGTGCAATGGAACAATGATCTAATGGAACATGTTGCATGGGAGGAATGATATTCTTGTCAATCAATAGTTTTTACATCATTTCAACCGTACCTAAAAGTTCTCCAAAACGATTAATCAATTTACTACATGTAGGAAGATTAGAATCAACTTTACTCTTTTGGTTTCATCAGAAGGAGATCATCCCCAACCAAAAAAACAAATGGATTCTTGCCCATCCAAGTATATTTTCTAAAAATTGCTTATTAGTCAATTGTTCAGGTGAATTTTCTCTTCACAAGTGTATCATTTCCTACTACTAAGTTAATAATGATATAGCAACAACTCATTAATTAATGGAAGATTAAATGTATATTTATGTTTTGTCTATAATGTAAGTTTAGAAGTTCCTTCAATTAGAGATCATACATTTATCAGACTAGACCAGACCAACAAATTTAAGTCGAAGTAAAAACATGTTGACTACTTCACATTATGCATGCTCATCGGGAATATTTTTTTTATCGTCTCATCGGGAATATATTGGAACATGGATATTAAATAAAGGGATTTTATCAATCCAGGACCTGAAAGATAGATGAATATCAATTCGTGACCTGAAAGATGAAATGTATCAATATAAGACCCCAATGATGAAAAATTATCAATCTAGGACCTAACATTTCATAGGTTTTGTTTTTTTAATTCCATTGCTAAGATTTGGTGAATCTTTCTTCACAAAAGTTTATTTGTTTAATAAAAGTAAATATTATTTAAATTTTTTAAAATAAAAAGGTAATAAAATTTATGAAAATGTAGGTCCTAAATTGTTAGTTTTCAATCACTTAATCCTAGATTGATAGTTTTCCATCCCTCGGGTCCTATACTGATATACATTTCATCTTTCAGGTCCCAGATTGATAATTCGTCTATATTTCAGGTCCCGTATTGATAATTCGTCTATCTTTGAGATCCTGAATTGATAAAATTCCATAAATAAAAAATGATCTCATAACATCAATTTACCTTTTTATACGGAGTGTTATCAATTACAAGCCGATGACATATTTATCAAAAGCTCCGAAAAGAGAAAACAAAACCATAAGATTGAAAAGTGAGGCATACATGAAAAGTAAAATTACTTTAAAACCCTATTTTCAATATTATTTTTTCTTTTATTTAATTAATAAAGTATATTTGAAATATACTTTTTCTTAATTTAATAAATTCAGTACATTCAATTGATTCAATCACAATTTCACCAATTTTACTACTTTTCAGCCGATTCATCTCATCTCAGTGTTATCACAGACCTATTAGAGATATTAGCCAACTTTATTTAACAATCTTTGGACTAAGAGCTTCTAGTAAATCACATATTCATTATTTTGTATTGATAATGCATGATGATAAAAATTATCTAATTATGTTCAAATTGGGAAGATTAAGTACTCGTCTATTTTACAAACACATACGTAGTAGCTAGAACTTATCGAAACGATTGTGGTATAATTGATTAAGAATAAAATGGTTCTTAATTGCGTGCATTGATAATGACAGATCACATCAAGCATTATTAGACAAACTACACTAATCAAATGAAAGAACATATACCTGATACCTCTTGTATTATACAAAAGAAATCGTGGCGCGGTGATGACACCAGGTTTCACTAAATCATCAAGCTTAATCACATTTTTGAAATTGAAAAAATACTTGGCACAATTCATGGTGCTTTTACCTAAAGTTTATGTGTCTCGGCTGAGATACGGATATTTTTATAAGCTGAGAAATAGGGCATCACAAATGTGCATGTGAAATGACTCATTTGCTATTCTCATGTGATTGTAATAACATAAAATGCCACGGCATACCTGAATGTACATTAATCATATCCTATTATTAAAAATTTCACCTCCATAGTTAGGGTTGGGCGCCGTCCGGGTAATTTATAATTTTTTAAGAATCGTCGGTTCCATTTAATGAGTAGGTTCGGTACAAGTATACCAAATTTTAAAATAGGAACCGGACCAAATCCGTCCCGTTAGAAACGGGCCGGTTCAGTCCGAGTTCTCGGTTCTTTTTTGTAAAAAAAAATACGACTATGCTAGCAAAGTATCTAGTAAGCTATAAAATTCTCAAACCAGTTAAATATCGATTTCACCACAAATAGTAAAAATTCAAATTAAAAACATAAAACAACATGTTAAATTTGTCAACAAAACATCTAAACACAAGTCTATAAATTAAAAAACTCACAACCACATAAATTAAATAACACCAAATTCTAAAATGTAAAATTTTAGACATGATCATCATCCATAAACAAAAAAGATAACACCATAGAGTGGTAAGAAATAAACTAGTTACTATACATTTTTGTCTATGAAAACAATTTCAAAGCTTATTAAATCTCAAAATATAAGTAAAATTAAGACAATTAAATGGATATGTCACACTTCATTCTTGTCTTTGTATACAAAAAATATTAAAGAAAGAAAACTTGATGCATTTGGAAAAGAGAATTGGGGGGATATAATTTAGGAGTTTATATAGACTTTAAAACCCTTTTTAATAGAATCACAAGTTTGTTTAATTGAGTCTTTGTCTGGAGAAATAAACATGAAGAAATTTCGTGTTTTTTATTGAGTATTAAATATAGTAGAGTTTATTAAAATAATATTATAAAACGGTTTGGTCCGGGCACCCATTTTTTCAAATTTCAAGACTCGTTCGATTCCTATGTTTTTAAAGACCCGTCCCGAACCAATTTTTCCAAAATCATGACTCGGCCCCTATAACCCGCCCCAAACCTATATTACCCGGCCCGACCCACAGTTCCTGTACCTGTTTGCCTACCCTACCGCGGGTAATCGTTTTATTAAATGAGTAATTGATATTTTAATTAATATAAAAATAATATTTTAAAAGGTGAAAAATGGCATTGCGTAGACGACTCTAGACTCATACGCCACTTTGAAGTTTCATATATCTACAAAATGAGAAAGAAAGCAACCTAAATTAATTTGAATCCAAAAATACTTAATCTTATATATAATTATTCACGAAAAAAATCTGATAATAATCAAACAAGACTATTAAAATATATTTATTATGAACTTTCATTCATACACTATAGTTAATACATCTATCATCCATATATACACACATACAATAGAAAAATATCATCTTTTAGTAGTTGTGAGACAAATAATAGATAAAAATGTGATAAAAATATAACTACAAATAAACGGGTATGGGGCGGACATGTATAAAACCGTAACCGCCTTGTTACTCATAAAAACAAAACAGGTATTATCCGCCCCGTACTCATTACCAGGTCAATGTGGTTTTCCCCCTTTTGACCAGGGCGGTTCGGTGCATGCGGGTATCCATCGGATCGGTCACAATTGTCATCCCTAATACAAAGTATCATGCTCCTTCAGTTCCTTAATAAAAGTCACAGTTTGACTTCACACATACACTGTATTAAGGAAACAAAATTATTGAGGGGTAAAGTTTACTATAGAATACAACTTTCTGACACCGTTTGACAATTTTTGCAACGTTTGTACTGTTTTGATGTAGATTTGTTTAGCAAATAAGGGAGTGTGACTATTTAGGGACATGCAGAAAAGGAATGCGTGAATTTAATTTAGAGACGGAGGGAACCTGTATTATTAAATGATTACATTTGAGATAATAAAATTTACTTGTATAGCCTAGTAGCCTACTTGCATACCATTACTAGGAAACAATTTACCAGGAAATACTACATATATACCTTCGTCCCTCTAATATTGGGATGAAATCATGGAAGAAAGTGGTGTAGTTTTTCAGAAAAATTGAATTATGTGGTTCGTAAAGTGAAAATAAAGTAATAATCAATTTGAGGCACGCAAAGATTACCAAATTTAGTATGAGACATTTTTAATGGGACAAACGGAATCGAAAAAATAGGACAATTATAGTGAAACGGATGGAGTATGTACTATCGTACATGTATAAATTCACCAGTATATCTACGTCCAATGCTTATCGTTTTGTTAGCGATTTATGTATAGAAGCAAGAAGCAAGAGTAGATGAAGGATAAAACAAGAATGAAAGTTTTTTGGGTCATTGAGTTTTAGAAACTTTATTTAGACTTGATAACCTCAATTTCATATACTACCTCCGTCCCATAAATTAATAGTTCTCACTTTCTTTTTTGGGTCGTTCCAAAAAATAATTCGCATTTCCCTTTTTGAAAAGTTTTGTGTGGCTACCATTCATTTACCTTTTTTTACTCAACCACAATCATACATTTCCACTTTATTCGCACTGATAGAGTTATGGGACTAGGCCCAGAGCCTAATCGGCCCAAGCCCCGAACTTAGACCCATGGATCCAGATTCACAACCTCGAGCCTGCCTACCACACCCCAAGGGGGAGCCTGCCAGTCCGGCCGACCTGCCAGTCAAGAAGTAACGGTCAAGCAATTAATGCGTTGTTTAATTATGTATTTAATTCCGTATTAATGTTGTAATTAATTAGTCATTAATATCGGTAGCGGTTACAAATTGTATACGCCTATAAAAGGCACGTTGTAATTCAAACTAAGGGAGCAATTTCATATGCTATTTCTGGCTCTCAAACTCTCTAGCTACTTTCCACATTCGTATTGCTTTCTACTTTCCTGCTTGAGTGTTCTTACTTTCTGGCCATCAAGCTGTTTAGCTACTGTCCATATCCGTTCTTACTTTCCTTATTCTTGTTTGAGTGTCGAACGTAACTTTCCTAAAAGCCTACGAACGTCCTATTTTGGACCAACATTGATGCTTTCATTGACAGCCTCTGCTTGTCTCTCACATTACTTTGGTAGGAATTAAAAAAAAAAAATCCCAGAAAAACAAACTGTTCTTGAAATTTCAGAAAAGTTGTGCTTGTCGTCCAGGACGTCGGCCGACATGAAGGCTACACCTGATCTCGCCACTAACACTGGAGAGTCATTGTTCGGATCTGGCCGGCACTCCTCCGGATCCCTTCTCCGATTCTCACAAAGCTTCCAGTCCAAAAAAAAATCAGAGTGGAATATCACTGTATCTTGAGGTGAGGCCGCCGCGGCCGTCTGTTGACGTCCATGCCGCCTCCGTGCACCCTTAGAGCAAGGCCAGCTGCGTGAAATCCGCCGGAGTTTGCGACCAGGAAGTCAATCGAGTCCATCGGCGATCTCACACTTGAGGCAACAACGGTGCTCGCACGTCTTTTCGGCGCGGCAGGAGATGGCCGACCAAGGTCTCTGCACAGGGGGTTACGCTAGCTGCTCACTTTGCTAGGTTGATTTTGGACCTGGAGTGCTTATGGGCCAAGCTCACTTGAACTGGTTTTTCTTTTAGACAGAGCTTCCAAACAACAGAAGAGCTAAGTATACTCCTGAATTTTACATCATCATTAATCCAAAAAAGATTTGAAAAAAAATCATAAATTCAAACACTTGAAAAGATAAATTAAGTGGTATAATTGCTTTTACTCTTTTCAAATGTGTGTAATTTTAACATTGAAAAATGGACTCATGAAATCCGATCACTCACATACACCGGACGAGCACACACACTCGTACAATGGCCGAGCACACACACTCGCGCCACCGGATAATGTCATATGGGTGTGGCGATTAATAAGCTCCAATATAAATGTTAATACCACACACTCTTGATTTCATACGAGTTCATGCGTGCTCTTACCCCTTCCTAGTGCATCACACTCCGACCTCGGGGGACGTGTCGCCCGTTCAAAAGTTTTTACTTGCGGGTTTGAACTACTAACCTTGGGCGGCGAGTTAAACTCTTGTTAGGGGCCTAGAGCCACACTCTTCCGAGCAATTTTTTCACTTAATTGACATTCACATTTCCCGAAAAGGTTGATATACTTTAGTTCTGTGGGGTTGGATTATCCGTTCGAATGATGACTCCGAGTCACTTACTCGCGGATTCAATCTTCCTTTCGGAGACTGGGTTGAGGCCTAACTTGGGAACTTGATGTCACTCTTTTCGAGTGGTGAGTCTGACTCACTTACTCACCGGCCGTGATTCAGCACCGGGTCAGATGCTCTATTCTACACTTGTTGCTTTTATGTGTAGGTACGACTGAACGAAGACGGGCCTGATGAGTTTGAGCCCGATGAGAAGAACGGTTCTAGCCATCCTCTTCGCTGATGGTGACCATTGCAATAAAGGCGGAAGATTTCACCCTTTGCTTCATCTTGGGGCAACAGGTGTACTCTTTTTCCCTTCATTATGATTTTTTCCCATTGAGTTTTTTCCTAATGAAGGTTTTTAATGAGGCATCTCCCCAACATGGACAAGGTCAGGGATCTTCCAGTCTCGGAGAAGGGCAACTGACTTGGACTACTCCCTCTTAGCCGGGTCTACTACTCGACTAAGGGAGCGGGGGACTCGTGATGGAGTTATGGGACTAGGCCCAGAGCCTAATCGGCCCAAGCCCCAAAATTGGACCCGTGGATCCAGATCCACAACCTGGAGCCTGCCTACCACCCCAACGGGGAGCCTGCCAGTCCGGCCGACCTGCCAGCCAAGAAGTAACGGTCAAACAATTAATGCGCTGTTTAATTGTGTATTTAATTCCGTATTAATGTTGTAATTAATTAGTTATTAATATCGGTAGCGGTTACGAATTGTATACGCCTATAAAAGGCACGTTGTAATTCAAACTAAGGGAGCAATTTCATATGTTATTTCTGGCTCTCAAACTCTCTAACTATTTTCCATTGCTTTCTACTTTCCTGCTTGAGTGTTCTTACTTTCTAGCCATCAAGCTGTTTAGCTACTTTCCATATCCGTTCTTACTTTCTTGATTCTTGCTTGAGTGTCAAACGTAGCTTTCCTAAAAGCCTACGAGCGTCCTATTTTGGACCAACACGCACTTTCTTAAACTCTGAACCAAATCCTAGTGGGAACTATTTTATGTGACAGAGGGAGTATTAATTTAAACATTTATCTAGACTATTCAACTTGAATAATACTTAACTCTATGAGGTAATTATATACTACCTCCGCCCCCTCTGTTTGGGACAAGAGAAGGTGACACGATTATTAATAAAAGTGATTTATGTGGTTGATATTGAATTGATAAAGTAAGAATAAAGTAAGAATGATTTAGAATCACATAGATTTTACCAAATAAAGTATGAGACAATCTTATTAGGACGGACCGAAAAGGTAAAATGAAACAATCATAGCGGGATGGAGGGAGTATTATTTAACTAGTGTAATATGTGTGCATCCGCACACGTGAGATAAGCATCTACATTAATAAGTAATGGTTATGAGATCTTAAACGGTAGTAGGTTGATTCAGATGCTCACAACGGTATTGAGAGTAGTATTCACAATATATATCATTTGAGTAGTTGTAGTCAGGGACGGACCTAGGGGCTACCATCTCGCCAACAAAAAAAATAGTGTGAATATATACGAAAAATAATTTTTGCCCACTCGAAAAATAATTTTCGTCTCCCAAAAAAAGTTTGAACCCCAAGATGAATTTCTTGGATTTGCCCCTTGTTGTAGTACATACGTAGAAAAGCCACTTACATGGTTATTGACAAGAAAAGAATCTTACATGCTAGAGGTTTTGAAAAGTTTGTCACGTATTGCTGTCCATATATGTTTTTACACTGCCACATTTATGTGGCCATGACTAAAAATAAGTATAGATATACATACTCCAAGATTGGTTAAAGATTGATCTTAAATTTGTTGATTGTCATAGCCTAAGATGTAACAGTAGGAAATTGTCCCCTTATAAACTTGAAAGCTCATGATGATTGAGGAGACATATAAATGCTAGTAATAATTTCATTCTCAATGTTGCTGCCAGACCTTGCCTTTGTTTCGATAACATGATTACCCAATCTTGTTAGAATTGATGCAGTTTCTTAATGATATTAAAATTGTCATACTAAATTCCTAGTATTTCAAAATTACACCACAATTTTAGGATGATCATAAGTGACTCCTTTATAGAAACAAACAAACACAATGATCTCATTTTATAATTTCACATCATTTTTGCTGTGGAATTTTTTAATTTTAGACCTATATTACCACAGTGTCCATATCATTGTTTTGAGGTTTTGTTTGCAAGTGCTTGTCTTTAAAAAAAATTACTTTTTTGGAAAAAGTGATTAGTAGTAAAAGTTGGTAGTGTTTGGTAAAATTAGTGCTTTTTGTGTATTAAAAAAAGTAAAAGATAGATTCTACACGAAAGCAAAGAAAAGTAAAAGTTGGTAGTATTTGGTAAAATAAGTGTTTTTTAAGCCAAAAACTGGGAAGTGCTTTTTTTAGTGTTTGCAAAGCTTGAGTCTCGACAAGAGTTTCAGGCATTGATAACGTTTAGAATTGAGAAGCCGGAAAATTGGCCAAATCTGAATAATGAAATACATAGTAATGAAATTTGGATTTTTTCACAAATACGTTAAAAAGTGAATATAATATCACTATTGTCACCTCTCAAAATTCTTTTAAAAAAAAATAGACTAGCGGAATTTTTCCTTTCAAAAGTAGACCACTACCGACTATGAATGTTAGACTAACGTATTGGAACTTTACTGTACAAAACTTAATCAATTCATGGTTTTAAATAGAATATATATATTGTAAAAAGTTAAAAGAAAAGATAACCAGAAGATATTAAACGTATTTAAAATAAAATTAAATTAAAAAAAATAATAATTAATCAAGAAATCAAATAATGCATATGAAAAATCAAAGTTGAAAACTTGTAAGTTCAATTTAAAAATGAAATATAGATTTAAAAAATAAATCAGAAAATGTACAGAAAAAATTAGAAAATTTGGAAATACAAAACTGAAAAGTAAAAATGATAAAGGTTTAAAATAGTTTAGAACGTAAAAAATTGTATAAAATGATTTTTTCTTAAATTTCATTTTTAGAAGACTTCACATACCCCTTAATTTGTAAAAAGAGTATGTACAAAAAATAAAAATATCAATAATTGAATTCTTTATACAAATTAATTAATAAAAAAATGAGTATTTATAAATACATAATAAAAAACTAAAAAACAAAAAAAATAAAAAATAAGAAAGGTAAAAAACTTTCTAAAATGGGAAAATGTCATATTAAACTCTAGAATAATTGAAAAAAAAGGTAATAAAAAAATATATAAATTGGTTTTGAAAATATTTAAAATTATCATAGGCAATTAGGAACTTTTATGAAACAATTACTACTTTAGATACCGGAATATAGAAAGAAAATATATGAATGCATTAAATATATATATATATATATATATATGTATATTTAAAAAATATAGATTAATAAAATAGTATAAAATAAATTTAAATTTAAAATTTAATTAAAAAATTAAAAAGCAAGACTTTTAATTAAATTATAAAGGTTGAAAAATATAAAACTGGAAAATAGAAAAATATGTAAATAGAATTAAAATTTAAAAGAGAACTCGACATTGAAACAATTGGGAAAATGTAAAAATATGAATCTTGCAATTCATTTTTTAAATAGTAAAAATAACGATACTTCTAATATAGTTGTGGTGTTTGTTTTTGTTATATATTGTTTCTTTTTATTGATAAGTATGACAGTTTGTTTTTTATTGTTTCTTGTTGTTTGTTTATATTTAAAATCCAAATGTATCATTTTAATTGATTGAATATAAATCTAAATATGGCTTTTTCACTTTAAAGAAGTAGCGATAAAGAAAAAACTAAAATAAACAACAAAAATCAAGAACAACAATATACCAAAAAAATATTAACACAAAGCAACAAAAGTAAACTTGTTGCAACAAAAAAAACAAAAGGCCTCTCTTTTCAATACATCAAAAAGCAACAAAAAACAATATTGTTGATCTTTTGTTTTTTGTTCTCAAATGTAGCAAAAATGTAGACAAGCAATTCATTCACTCCATATTGTAAGGTAATCTCTTTCACTCCATAAAGTGTTGGATCTTAGTAATCAAGGCTGTCTCTAGCAGCAACACAGCTCCCACATTCAATATCGCTACATTTGAAATGCAATGTGATTACCAATAACTAGCAGCAACATAAAAGTATCCCATTGATTATGTAATTTGGATTTTTTTTACCCGGAAAAGCAAATCACCAAAATCAGTTGGGTAAATATCATTTAATCCAAAGTTGGTTAATCTCTCTGAGAGATATTTGATGTAATTTGGATTTCCTTCATATAACTTCTTTTTATGCATCTTACACAGTTTTACAGAATTAATTTTGTTAGCTTAACTTTCCTCAAAAATCTTCACTACTTTATTGATGAAATCAATGAATTGGGGAAGCTTTAGCATAATTAATGAAAAAGAATTTTCAAGCAATCGAGGGTTTGGTGAGAAAATGTATTGAGAAGTCTTAGCATCCATCCTGGTGCAAGTCCACCAATATTCTATTCATGCCAGATTAATAAAGTATATAAGAGTAGACATAATATGAGTACTTTTCTCAAGCAATTGTCAGTGTACTTTTTTACACGAAAATTAATGTCGGTGTATAAAGACAAAAATTATCTGTGTACACAAACAACTCTTATATGCGCTCACAGACAACTCTACTTAATTATCTGTGATTAACATTTTGTGTACAAATTATGTACAACTAGTAAATTGAGACTGAACGGGATATTTCCATATGAATTTTGTTGTTGGCTAAGCCCAGTAAAAGGACAACTGATCCAAGCCCAAGTAGCACCTGAAGTACTCAGCCACCGTGCGGTGGTTCATCCATCCTTACACTGGCGGCGATGGGTTCTTCAGCTCTCCCCATTGTCTCATGAGATTCAAACCCATCTCCGCTCTTTCTCTCTTCAAAAAATCGAACCTTTACGCCCATTTCCTAAAAAACCATTTCATGGCCACCGACGCTCTGCCCGCGTCTTCCGTAGACCTTCAAAAAAATGAAGACGACCTTCTCTGCGCAGAGAGTGCGGGACCCACGGTCCCCATCTCGGAGGAAGAGAAGTTTCGGTCTATTGATTTTGGTCGTCCGAATGGGTATTTGAGCGGCGAGGCGAGGATTGAGAGGGCTTGGGCTCACTGGAACAAGTTGGGGCAGCCCAAATGTATAGTTGCCCCCATGGTAGACAACTCGGAGCTTCCTTTTCGTATGCTCTGCCGCAAGTATGGCGCTGAAGCTGCTTATACGCCTATGCTCCACTCCCGAATTTTCACTGAAAACGAAAAATACCGATCTGTGGAATTCACTACTTGCAAGGTACTCTTCATATCAGCTGAAAGGCATTGTTACAGAACAGCAAATTTTTAGGGTTTTGGAATTTACTCCAATTCGTGTTTATGCTTTTCTTCTTGTGAAATTTGTGTCATTGTATGGTTTTGAGCTCGTGATTCAAGAATCATCCGCTTGTATGCTACTAGGTTTTTATTACTTCTAGAAAATACTTTCTGACTTTCAGTGTTTGGCATATGAATATTTTTTTCAGGTTTTGGCACAGGGAGTACACTTTCCTAGATGAAATTTCTTAAAATTCTTTCCTTTGGTTCTTTGGTATTTTGTAGAAAATGTAGAAAGTGGGAGGTGTGTTTTGAGACAGTGTCATGGTTTTCATTTATGGTGATACTGTGATAGAATACTTTGTTGTACATAGAAAAATTTATTTTCAGTGTCACAATAAAGTACCTTGTAAGAAAATGTCTTCCTTGGACATTTTTTCCTCATAAAAAAAATTCAAGACTAGTCATTTTCATGGGAACAAAGAGAAGCTAATGAATACATTTTCTACCTTGTATGGTAAGTTGTTTTGAATCATGATGAAGTTACCATTTCTGTCTTTTAGACTGTTTATTTTTCGGTTTAACATTGTTTCCAACTGGTTTTACATTTCTTTGATTCACATATGAAATATGGTTTCTTAGGTAGTCCGATGATTCTGATTATGCTGTTGGTCTCACTATGATGAACTTGCAGGAAGACAGACCACTGTTTGTTCAATTCTGTGCAAATGACCCTGACACTTTGCTGGAAGCAGCTCGAAGAGTTGAACCCTATTGTGATTATGTAGACATTAACTTTGGGTAGCATCATATTTCTTACTTACAACATTCTAAGTAAATAATCATGTGACTATGAGGTCCATAAACATCTCCAGTATACTGATTTCATATGGGATTATCCTATACTTTTCACCCAAAAACTACTCTATCCATCCTAATCCAATTGAGGTTTTAGGAAAGAGTACTTATATTGAGAAACTTTACAAAATCCCTTTTCTTTCCTATATTAGCACAACATGGTTGAATAAAAGTATGAAATACATCTTTTTCCTTTTAAGACACAACAGTATTGTAATTTGGAAAAAAGACAAGAAGCACAAATTCAGGAAGTTAGTACAAAATGCATACTTTGATACTTTGTATTGAATTCCAAAGACAACAATTATTTTGGGAAAATACTGCCCAAATAACAACAATTTCGAACCACATTTTATTTGATTTATCTATATGGCTGTTCTGTTTACACTTGAGATATGTGTGGGTTTATAGGAAATGTGTTTTGGTAACACCACAGATGGGTGTTCATGATCACAACTATTCTTGCAAATATACCACTCAACTTTGTAAACCCTTGATTATCTATATAATCCCTATTCATTGTATAGTAAGTTAAAAATCTTTATTTATATCCCCTATTGACTTCTTGTGCACTAACTGTGCAGGTGCCCCCAACGTATTGCAAAGAGAGGAAATTATGGAGCTTTTCTTATGGATAATCTTTCCCTTATAAGGTCCCTGGTAGAGAAATTGTCAAACAATCTTACTGTTCCTGTTTCATGTAAAATCCGTATCTTCCCAGATTTGCAAGACACAATCAATTACGCCAAGATGTTGGAGGACGCGGGCTGCGCTCTCTTGGCAGTGCATGGACGAACAAGGGATGAAAAGGATGGGAAGAAAATCCGGGCCCACTGGGATATCGTCAAGGCAGTTAAAAAATCTGTTAGAATCCCCGTGCTCGCTAATGGGAATATTCGGCACATGGATGACGTGAAAAGTTGCTTGGAAGAGACCGGTGCAGAAGGTGTACTCTCAGCCGAGTCACTTCTTGAGAACCCTGCCTTATTTGCTGGATATAGGACATCTGAGTGGACAGAGGGAAGTGGAGGAATAAAAGAAGATAATAGGGTTGACCAGGCTGAGTTAGTGGAGGAGTATTTGAAGTTTTGTGAGAAATACCCAGTGCCCTGGAGAATGATTCGTTCCCATGTGCACAAAATGTTGGGAGAATGGTTCAGGGTCCAGCCTGACATTAGAGAGGATCTTAATAAACAATCCATACTTACATTTGCATTTATGTACGACTTGGTAAATCGGCTAAGGGAACGTGGTATACGGATACCATTATATGTGAAGGACAACCTTCAAAGCAGAGGATTTTCTGAAAAGTGAACAATTTATCGAATGTGTTTGTTCTGAGTTCCAAGAACAAACTTGGTAACATTTTTCTCAGCCATTGTTCTTTGTGATCTTACATGAACATGATGACATCCATGCGGCCATGCCTAGTGAACTTTTCAAGACACCAGGTGGAGAACGGAAAGTTTGAATGCTTTTGTCTTTTTAAGGCGTGCAAGGTTCAAACTCAATCTTACACGTTGCAAGGATACTCTATAGCTGTATTAGTTATAGTGGAATTAACTCACATTAAAACAGTGCAAGGGGTTGTTTGATGCGATTCATTGTAATTTTTTTGGGAATATCTAATTGGGAGAGTTTGATTTTACCCTTCGTTTCACTTAAAAATCATTTAACTCTGCACCTCGTTCAGAATTTTTTCTTCACAAAATGTTTATGATGAGGTGCAAATTTAAAGTTTTTTAAAGTGACTTGCAAGTTGCAAAGTCCAATATCATCTAAAAAAATGAGGTGCAAGTCAAATTCTTCATTTTTAAATTTATTGTCTTTAAATATCAAATCGTTCGATTAAAATAGTCTATTGGCATTTGCTTTAAATTTTGTTGAATATGGTCAATAACACTATTCTAAAAATCGCATTAGGTGGTTAACTAGTCCTTGTCTAGGCAGTAGGCACTAGTCGGGATGCCTTGAATAATTGATTTGACGCCTAGTTGGATTAATCGGCTAGTTGCTTATCGAGAGTGTCTAATTGACCGCCTAGGGGCTAGGGGTTAGGACATTTAGATTCAGCGCCTAGGACGTTAAGATTGAGTAGGCATTTTTTTCTTTCTATTTATTTTTGAAAGGAGAAACCTATTAAACGGATAGTTTCAGGAAGTCAATTGAACCCTTCAATTAAAAGGACACCCAATCAAATATATGAACACTTAAAAACGAGGCAATTCTTCTTGGTAGATTCTATGGTACCCATAAGGTACCATAACTTTGTCTACATGGACCAATCAAAATGATGCAGTTGAATTATTTAAATCTAAATTAAAAAGGATATAACGATTTGGACGAATCAAATGCATGGTAGGTACGGTACCCCATTTTTTAATGGATACTGGAGTTGTCGCCATTCTTCTTTTTAATTGATAACGGAACAGATTAACATGTTAAAGTGTACATGCGGCAATCAAATGATTGTTACCATTTTCCCTTCTTTTCCCCTTCTCCACCTTTTGCTCCCACCCCTCATTCGAAAAACCTTCACCGCTTCACAGAGTCTTCACCCCTTTCTTTCATCTTCTTGTACACACCCTTTCTCCCTCCTTGTTTTCTCTTTCTTCTCTCACCCATCGGTTGTCGGCTGGAACTCCACTGTGCAAAGTCCGAAGGAAACTACGTCCCCTTAAAGCAAATCGGCTAGTGACGGACCCGGTTCGGGCCGCCCGGCCCGGGACCGGCCCGGCCCGCTACTGTGCGGGACCGGCCTGGTTCTCGGGTCCGGGACTAGGCCCGGTGGGGGGGTCCGGGCTCGGGCCTTGTATTTGGCGAACCGGCCCGGCCGGGTCGAGCCTGGGTCCAGGCCTAATTGCTTTTTTTTTTTCATTTTTTGGGATACACCCGGGTTGGGCTTGATGGTTAGGAGGGGTTTGGGGGTTTTGGGGGGTGAGGGGGGGGGGGGGGGGGGTTAGGAAAGCAAAAAAAAAAAAAAAAAAAAGAAAAAAAAAACCAAACCGGAGGCCCGGACCCGGTGGCTGCCCGGGTCCATGACTAGAATCGGCGGCTTGGAAGTCAAGGAAGGTACTCCAGTGAAGCTTCGATTCGGCTAGTTCATCGTGGGATCTCCAGGCTACTTCTAGATCACAGCTTTGATTCGGTCAGAGACCCTAGTCGACGACGTAGAAGAAGGTGAAGTGAGACCCAAAAAATAAGAGCAAAGGACTTACGGGAAAAAGGGAACGGGGAAAGAAAGAAAGAAATCAATAAAGAAAAGGGAAGAAGTTGCAGGTGTTGAGGCACAGGGAAGAAGAAAGGGAGAAGGAAAGAAATAAAGAAAGAAAAAGAAAAGCATAACAAAACAAAAGAAAACAAAAAAGATAAGAAAAATGCAACATCAAACACCACACGCAATTTGACCAGGTACTGGTAGGGTACGTGTTAACTAGAGGATTTATCTCGTTTCTAGTTAGTGAATTTAATTGGGTGTTATTTTAGCGCAATTGTTACCACATTTTTAATTGTTAATGGATTTCATATGAAGCAAGCTACTTGTAGATTAAACAAAAATCATATAGTTGTGCACATTCTTAAGTTATATTATTATTATTATTATTTAATATTTATGACATAGTGAAAGTGAGTGACTAATCATTATATAATAGATTAAAAGTGTACAGAGCGTATCATTCATGCATGTTAACATGTGGGAAAAATAGACATGATACTCACAAGTACAAATATTGATAAAAGTATGATTTCTATATCACCAATTAGCGCCCTACACCTTTAAGGCTTTAAGAACATTGTCCATTGGTATATTATAGCACTGAAGCTTGATGATGAGGACCTAATTGACTTTTTCAAAGTTCGGGGATTTGATTGATCTTTTTAAAAGTATGAGAACCTAATTAACTTTTTCATTACTCTAAAAAAAAACTTTTTCATGAAAGTACGATGACCAAATTGACAGTTTTCCCTAAATATATCAATATGTTCAGTAACAAGCAGTCAAGCATGTTGATTTGATTAATGGTCTGATAGTCATGGACCGACCCAGAACCGGACCGAGACCGACACTGTTCCGACCCGGCCCGAACAGGTGGCCTGGCCAGTGACCGGTCCGGGTAGGCCCGACCCGAGGGGTTTCCGGTCCAAGCTCAGGTCACCCAAAACATGAACCGGCCCCGCCAGTCCAGGCCCGGTTCCGGGCTTATTTTTTTTTTCGATTTTTTTTTAATCCCCGAGTTGGGCTGGGTATTTTGGGCCATTTGGGTGGTTGGGGTAATTAGAAAAAGGTGAAAAAAAATGTTAGAGGCCCGAACCGGACCCATTGGCTACCCAGGCTGGTCCCTGGCTCAACACTTCCTAACCGGCGGCCCGGTCAAGGCTAGGCCCGGCCCGAGTCCACCACTATGGACATTTCAGCTCATAAAGGTGGGCTAGTGCTGGACTCGGGCCGGGCGGCCCGGCCCGGAACCGGCCCGGCCCGGTGGGTCCGCCGGTTCGGTTCGGCCCGGCTGCTGGGCGGTTCGGGCCCGGGCCCAGGTTTTGGTGAACCGGCCCGGCCGGTTCGGGCTCGGTCCAGGCCGGATTTTAATTTTTTTTTTTTTTGAAATTTTTTTAAGTTTTAGGTTGGATTAGGTATTTTGGGCCATTTGAGGTGGTTTGGGATGGTTTGGGGTTGAGGGGGAGGGGTAGGGGATTAAATAGGAGAACAAAAAAAAAAAAAAAAAAAAATGGGCCGGTTCGGCCCGGCCCGGCCCGGTTTGGCCCGGAACCGGCCACCGGCGGTTCGGGCTCGGGCCTCCCTTTCCTGGCCCGAGGCCCGGCCGGGCCCAGGCCCGAACCGGCCCGAGTCCATCACTAGGTGGGCATTGTTTTTTTTAAGTAAAAGAATCTACATCATGAAGTCATCACGTCAACAGCTTGATTGCATTTAAGTGTTCCAAACTTTTAAAACAGATGCATGCAGCATGCAGGCAGGCAGTAGAGAACCTAAGGGAGATGGGTGATTATCACAAGAAGCAAATCCAAACTTTGACTTTTAATTAAAAACTAGAGGGAATGTTGAACCAAAGTTATTGAAGAAATTATCAAGTTCAGTACACAAGTATTTAGGAGCGATTACACGGGACAATGCCATTAAACAACCACCACATAAAATGTCAAGAAAAAAACATCTTCAAGATATACATGACCACCACCAAATGGAACAGACCAGGTTTGGCAGCTCAAGAGTCTGAATTGACATATCTCGAAACAACAAGTCTGATTTATGGTCATCGAAATACAGACCTTTGCAGTTGAAAGCATAAATAGACTTCTTCTCTCAAGGAAAAACCTCTATTCAACTTCTTGAAGATAGTCCTCAATTTCAGCTGGCGTAAGAACTCTGCAAGGAAACCAACAAGCACTCACGCATTAAAGGAAAGGTCATGTACATGCTAACGCTCTTATATCCACTTTCAGTGAAGCTAAGAAACTTGCCTGAACACTTTGTCAGCACCAATTATTCCAATCTCAATGTTTTTACCAGAAATTTGCCCTTCAAACCTAAGAACCCATGCACAACAAGGCCACTGTTATTTTATTCATTTATTGAAAGAAAAAGCAAACATTTAGCAAAATCCTGGATTTAGACTAGTGTTAGGTATACAATCAGGGACGGGGCTAGGGGGCAACCTAGGCCCCGGCCCACTCCAGATTTAAAAAATGGCTCAATTTTTAAAAATATTATTTGTACCGGCCCAGCCCGGTGCCTTGGCTCCGCCCTTGTACACAATTGTACTGTGCACAACTGCACACTTAATTATTGAAGCCTTATCTTTAAAAAATTGGATAGTACACTCGAACAGTTAAATGTATGGAAACATGACTAATACTTGAGCATAAAGAAAAAAATCAGTGTAGATAATTACCCCTCTTTAAGTGTCAGAATAGCAGTGTGTACAGCATCATCAAGTTCCATATCTTCTGTATACCTAACGCATGAAAAAACAATCATGAGGACACAGTGATGTAAAGAAATGAAAACTTGTAAAACATCCTTGCTGGTACAGTCCATATTGCTTGTATAGCGTTGAGTTATATAAAACAGCCAAGGCATTTCATAAAAACTTGCTTTTTTTATTATTATTATTTATATTTTTACTCTAGGGGGCGTCTGGAGGAGGGGGGCTAGGGGGCCTGGAGTAATGATGGCTGGAACTCACTCCATTGAGTTTCGAACCCGAGACCTCCCGTCAAGGAGAGTGAGTCTGTGACCAGGTGGGCCGGACCGCTACCTCTGATGAAAACTTGCTAATTCACTAGTATATTTTTTATGGATAGCTGATGCTGACAAATTACCAACTGCAAGGCACATTCTTAATGTGCTTATTTCAGTGGTATTTTACATGATGTACATCATCTATTGCCTTATGTCACAAACCCAAAATGCAACATTATTAATTACTCCATCTGTCCCCAAAATTCAACGTATTTTTCATCTCAAATAAAGAGTCCAAATTTGATAATAAATTCCTCTAAAGACAAGTGGCAGGCGGTTTTGGGAATTATTCCGGACAATCTTGGAAGTAACATGTCTATGGTATTAGTGACCACTCCTAACTTGTAAAAGCTTGCACTTTCATTGAGCTGACTAAAAAGTATTACCTTATTCAAGAAGCATTTTTTAGGAT